GCTCACAACATCAAGGTGCGGTGGCCATCGAGGGGGCGGGACGGACCCCCTTCCTCCCCCTTACCTCAACTTGGGTCCGGCGTTCCGGGAACACCGGACTCCCCTGGTGCTGTGGCCATCGAGGGGTGGGTGGGGGGGGGGAGGACGGTGGTGTGTCTGCTATTTTGCGGGCGCCGTACCTGCACACACAACGGTCGTGGGGTACGGCGTTCTAGGAACGCCGGACCTGCTGCGTGGGGCGGTAGCGAAACTCCCGTGTCGCGATGGATGTTTCTTCATGTCGCTTAGTGTTGTTTTCTTGTTGTCTTTTTTTGTGCGACCCTTCAGGAAAAACAGCGTCTGGCTCCGCCCCCGAAAAACGATGCGGCAGGTCTAAGCTCTACCACGACAAAGCATGGGCTCTTGATTGGGTGGGTGGCCTTCATATGCCGGATTGCGGAGCCGTTGTCTTTTTGAGCGATGACAATGGCCTGAGTTGGTACTGCTGCGGAGGGGTGGAGAAATCGGAAGCGGGGAGGTTTACCTACGACGGCAGGAAGTTCAGGACCTACTTCCTTACGTCTGTCTATGACAGAGAGGGGATAAACTGGGTCAAGGAAGACAAGAAGGTGTCTCTTGACCATCGGCTCTTCCAAGGATACGGGGTCAAGGCTTTGTTGATGAAAGCGTTTGACGTGCGCGAAAACGGAACGGAGTTCCAAATGCTGGATCCGGAAAAGTTTCTTTTCAAAACCAATGGCTACCGCGTGACTGGTTCTTTGCCTGTCCTCGACAGCGCTTTCATGCTCAGCAGACCTTCGGTCCAATTCAACAGCCCGACGGACCAACTCGCAGCATTCGTTATGCGATACAGGGAAGAGTTCGCGAGGCTGCCTGCTGCCCAGCAAGTTGACCGTGTTTTCGTGCCGATTGACGCCCCGTCTTCGTCGGCTGCGGGGCCCAAACAGGGCCAGGATCAGCCGGCCAAAGCGGGTGGAAAGAGGACACAATTGGCGACTGCCCCGTCTTCGTCGGCTGCGGTTGTACAGGCTCTGCCCGCTCCGGTTCTGCCCTCGGATCAGAAAGGTCGCGTGGCGGCCGAGCAGTCTAGCGAGGCCACAGACTACGACGACGGAGCTGTGCGCTATCGGGCTGGTCCCGGCATCATTCCCGGGGAGGTGCGGGGTGCCTTCGATGACGACGAATGCGAGGGCCAAGATGGGGAGGGCGGTGGTTGGCGTGGGGAGGGCGGTGGTGAGGAGGGGGAGGGCGGTGGTGAGGAGGGGGAGGGCGGTGTTGAGGGGAATGACGGTAACGAAGGAGATGCTGAAGGTGAGGATGATGGCATGGACGAGGAGAGAGACGATGTTGGTGAGGAAGTCCAAGATAATCGCTCCTCCCAATTTCACCGTCGCCACCAGAATGAATCGCAGGGGCGCCGTGAGGACGACGCCTGCCACGTCGGTGACGCTATCGATGCTAGTGGCCAGCCTGCATCCTCCCGCGGAATGTCGCAGTCCTATGACCAGACGAAGGATGGGGGAGACGAACCTGGCTCACGGGAAAATCGAAAGAGGGGAGAGACATCGACCTCTCCTGCGAGTCGAACAAAACAGGCGAGGGCCGACGCCGTCAATGAAGCTCGTGGAGCGTTGACAGCATCACAGGAAGCGCGGGCTCCTCGGAAAACTGGTGGGGGGGACCGAAGTGGCAACCGTGGGGGCGGTCGCGCAGGCGGTAGGAAAGGCTCGCAGAGGTCCAGGGCACCTGAGTTGCGGGACTCAGGGGATGAGGGCGAGGGGGTGGGCCCTCGCATGCCCGAGGACATTGAAGAGCTGGTTCAGCACGCCGCGCTCGTGGACACGACACGATGTTTCTTCCTCGAATACGACGAACAGGGCTTCGCTAGGCAAGACGTCCAAGTTGTTAACGTCGACGTTAATAGGATCAAACCCATTCCCCGTAGGAAGATCCTATTTAACCACTGTTCGTTGTCTGTGAACATTGTGAGAGGCATCGAGAGTGTCATAGAAAGCTCCATCAGTGCTGACCCGCGGGTGTGGGATAGACCTGAGCTCGTTCTTGCGCCGGTTGACCCCAACGTCACCGTCGGGGGGCAGGGAAGGCGAATCACGCCGGACGAGTTCTTCCAAAGAGATTCTGGTGAGTTCGACTAGTACGCTGTCTGCGGTCAGCATACTGCCGAAGCCATGAAACGGTTGGTTGGAAATGACTCCCCAGCCGTCAAAGTCTACGGCCTCCGCACGTACTCTAAAGTGCGAGTCGCTTTTTTCGATGATGACCACACACGCGGGTACTTCAATGTCTCCCTCTTCGACAACACACGGGAGAATCGCGCCATGATGTTATCCTTCCAGGATGTTGTGCGTTATATGCAGCAATGGTGGATCGACAACAACAGGATCGAGGCACCCAAAGCTAAGGTCAGCGAGAAGGATGCCGTCGCCGTTGCGCATCAGAAAACGTGGCAGAACTTCCTGAGGGCGTGCGACAAGGCATTCGTGAAACAGGCACTCGACAACGAATACAACAAGGATTGGAGTAACAAACTTCGGGGGTACCTGAACCTCGCCACGTCCACCCGCACGGTTTGGCCGCTGGTGGAGAGGTTCTTCGCGATGTTCGAGGAGGTAAGCTGCCAATCGGCGACGGCAAGATCCCACTTGAGATGCCGGGGAGGATGGAGGGGCGCCTGCCTGGCCCGTACACTGACGAGAACAAGGGACAACGGACTTTGTACCACTGCATATATGCGAGAGATGGTCCCAAGGGCTCCACCGTGTCCTGGAAGGATTTGTGTCCTACATACTTCAAGAACTTCTGGGACATGACATGCCGCGAGAGAGAAGTCGCGCTACTCCTGCTCATGTCGGGGAAAGTGGTGGCAACAAAAGTGAGAGTCACGCCTCCGAGGGTGAACAAAGTGTGCCTCCTCGACATTATGCGCAAGGAGAGATACATGGTCCGCATATTCAACTACGTCGTCTTTCGCGCCGAGGGAAGGACAGGGGACGAATGGAACGACGACTTCTTCATGTCGTACAAGGACCTGGAAGAGAGGTATGCTTCAAACGTGTTATGCGCAGATGAATGGGAGAAGCAACGGGAGAAGCTGCATAGCAACTTAGTGAAGACGATCCCTCGGCGACTTGGAGGAGTGGAGGAGGTGAGGCAAGGTGCGGGCTTGGGGCCTACACAAGTGATGTACAAGGAGGCTCCGTTTTACTTCAAGGTCTTTATATACACCACGATCGATAAGCTCGATATGCTTCGAGCGGAGGTGAAACGGATCGCCTCCAGTGCACGCCATCTTGTGTGGGACAAACTCCAAAGGCAGACCACGTTGCTTCCTGTATGCATGCCGTCAAAGGAGGTTATGGCGGCGCCCGTCGACATCGTCGCAGCCGCACAAAAAATCACATGCAGGGCCGCCATCGTGGACATCTCGGCCGCGAATTTCAGTAGTGCATGGACCTCGCAGGACTTCGATGCACTTTACGCAATGATGGCGAAGTGTTGTGGTCCAAATTGGGTCCTCTTCTTCTTTGCACCGCAGAATGTGCAAAGCGATGTCTTGCGTCAATTGTACCGTTGGGAGGACATCGAGCTCATCCCCGGATCATGGAAACGCGTGGACAGGCCACCGAGCGACGTCACAAGGTACGGCAACATCGCTACGAGCAGTCGGGACCTGATGGCAATCGTGCTGCACGCTGAAGGAGGGGATCTGAAAAAAGTAACTCTGTCGCACCCCGTCTTCACAACGATCTCACTGAAGTGCATGTTGTGGAGGAAAAATTCGGGAAGTGTCTCGGAAAACACGGTGGCGTCGAAGGCGACGAAAGTGCCGCATATTCAATTTGGGAGCGAGAACTTGGCAAGTTGCGGAAGTTGTGCAGTTCATTCGTAGGAGAGGCGAAAGGTGTGTTTTTGCTGGGTAGGGCGCAAGCGGGTCTTGTATGGAAGTCACTGCTTGCAGGTAATAATGTCATTGCCTGTGACGAGTCGGCCAAGGACATTGCATACTTGACACAGTTCGTCGACATACTTGTTAAGGATGGGAGATTTGAGTGTCGCATCGAGAAGCCGCGTGCCACACATCGCACGAACATGGATATGTACCACAAGTTGGGACCGAAACGACAGAAGGTGTGGGAATACCTGTTCCGCGATGCGCCTGATGGACGCCTTGATGGGGGATACATATATAGGAAAGCCAAGGTGACCGAGGCCCTCAAACATTATCACGGTGCTCTAACTGGCGCCTTCGAGACATTCGTTGCTCGATGCGAGATCTTGAGGTTTGATCTTCACAAAGATAAACTGACGTTTAAGGACTATGCAGACCTCGCTAAATCGGGTGAAGGCTTTAACCCCGTTGACAGCGAGGAAGACTCGTCGGACTCCGACCTCGAGATCGAAAAGGACACCAATGCAACCGGGTGGTGTGGGAAGTCCGCTGACATGGAGCAAAGCGTCAAGAGATATGGACCGGGTCAGACAGAGGGGTGCTCGAACCTGCCACCTGCTAACAGTGTGGCCTCGGGTGTGGACCGGGTTGTATGTACGCCTATGGAAGACGACGAAGACGATGACCTTGATATTCCTGCTCAGCCAACAAAGCTGGTGCCAGGCGATTCGATTCCTCCCAGATTTTGTGCAGATCCAAACAATGTGTATTTCTTGGATGACAAATACACCTGCACTAGTAAGGACAAGTGGGGCCATGATATCATTTGGCATGACGACATTTTCGAGCCATGTATCCAAGGCAGGGAGTGGAAAATGGCGGTGAAGTATGTCTCGAAGGGTTGGAGACCGTTTGCCCGCATGGGAAAGGACAACTGGCTGAAGACGACGAAACAATCAATACTATACCGCTGTCGGAAAGAGAATCCCGGGGAGAGTAAAACATCCATCGCGGCAAAGGCGAAACAATTGTTCGACGCCTTGGGAGCCACTCGACAGTTGGAGTACTCACACAAGTTTTACGAGCTGCAGTCGAGCCCCTCGTACGGCAAAATTGACTGGAAGGTTGAGCGCGCCGCCGCACTCGATAGCATGGACGTGGACTCCCGAAAAAAATGCCGCCCCTGTGCCCGAGCCGGCCACAGGGAACACGATGGGTGAACAAAGGGAAGATGGCGGGACGGCGTTCGACATGAAGCCTCCGTTGCCAGAGGCGGGGAACACGTACGCAGGCAAAAACACTATTGGAGCCATCTCTGTCGCAACGGGGGATACATCACAAGGTGAAAAAGTGTCACTCGACAAGCCGACGGATGCGGGCGCCACATACGGGAGTCTCCTCGCGACAGGTGCGGCGCTGGCAGGCACATCGGAGATGGTGTCAGAGTCCGCTGCTGGGATGGGCGTCACGGGGATGTCGTTGCATCCGCCCACATGCACTAGCAAAGGTGACGCACACTGTACAACAACACCACAGGGAGGGGTCACAGGGATGACGGGAATGGGGGAAATGCAGGGGGGTCTCCACGTTCTCACAATATTGAGGACATGACGACAGACGATGAGGATGTGGTAGAAGGCGGAAAGGGCGTGAGCGATCCCACGTGTGCAGAACATGAGTGGTGAGACAGGGAATGAACTTGAGGGGAATCCTCTTCGGGGGGAAATTTAATATTTTCATGTGTGTGCTCAATTGTTTGAAATTAGGGTTTGTGGGCGGAATTTGTTCCTGTGTACAATCGACCTGCAGACTCATTAGTGTTCAATTTTCGGGATTTGAATTTTTAATTATTGACAAGAAAATTGTGTGGTGAACAAGAGTGTGTCGAAGTATGCATGTGTGTCTCTCTATATTCGTCAATATGTTGCGTTGTGTATATGCATGTATGTCGTTGGGGTACGGTGATGAAAGGGGGCAAGAGTCAGGATTGATTGGTCCGAAGTGTTGTCGTTCATCTAAGTGTAAGTTTAGCGAAACATTGATGACGTATCTTGATTACATCATTTTCGTTTAGCATCTTCTGCTAAGGCACTTGCCAATGTACAAGTATCTCAAATGCTCGCCCTCCCCGTTTTTAACACCGCCTGCCCACCCGTTTCTTACTTTCTTGTAAGAGCGACCATTTTTCACACCCTTGTCCGCCTCGGTTACCGTTGTTTACACCGTCGTCGATGTCGTATTCGTCGTGTTTGTCGTGCGCAATGCAAATTACAACAACGGATACAAGAAAGTGCAAAAGAGGGTGGACAATGCGCCTCACAACATCATCTTTATCAGAGAAGGAGATATAATCACTCTCACATGTATGACGGGAGTACGGGAAAAGGTTCCCAATAGTGAGCACACACAATCACGGGACGAATGAAGTATTGAAGCTAACTCGAGACGAATTTATTTTACTAGTCGACGAGCGGAACTGGTTAAATGACAACATCGTCAACTTCTACATGAACCTCATCACACTAGACAACTGGTGTAGAATCACACACGTAGAATGCGACGCAGGGAACGAAACCGTGATAAGAATTGGAAAGGGTCGCATTCCTAGAATATCAGTGCTGAGCTCTTTTTTCTTCGCCAGACTTTTCGACAGCGAAATGAGATATCAAGAGCGAGAGGTACAGCACTGGTCGAATGACATTATAATAAGTGACATGGACTTGATAATTGCCCCTTTCCATATCGCCCACACGAACCACTGGACCCTCGTTATGGCTGACTTCAGGAGGAGGAAATTTGAATTTTACGACTCCCTCAGCCCCGACAAAGAACCGGCAGCCAAAGTGACCGGCGGATTTGCAAAGTTTTTTTTTAAAAGATCGATTCAGCAAGGCAAAGAGGTGGACACGAAACCATTTAATCACATATGGACCGTAGAGGGCGTCCCGAAACAACGTGACACTAGCTCGTGTGGGGTCTTCATGCTCGCATACATATCGTTATTGGCAAGGGGTCACCTTCCGCCTTTCTCTTTCACTGCTGATGACATACCCGCAATACGTCGTCGAATGGCTTTGGACAAAGTGGCTCGCGAGTAGTATGAACCTGCTGCTGGATATTGTGATTACATGCGGATGGATGTGGGTAACATTAAATTGTTTGTCATGGAAACAGTGTATAGAAGATGACAACCATTGCTCCAAGTTCCTGCCCCTTACCTCTTGTCTTTTACCCCTTATCCCTTACCCCCAAACCCCTTACCCCTTACCTCTTACCCCTTACCCTTGCATGTATACCCATACCCCAAATTCAAATGCATTTTTTACCCTAAAACACCACGGAAATGACAATTTAAATTTTGTTCAAAAAAATATAAAATGTCCGTTTTGACGAAATCGCTGTTTATATATATATATATATATATATATATATATATATATATATATATATATATATATATATATATAGCCTCCTGAT